TCATCTAGTAGATGCTCAATAAATAGTGCTTGAATAGACAAACAAATTGCTAAAACTACCAAAAACCTTTAGAGCTGTACAAAATGGTAATATAATTCTTTGTGGTTTTCAAACTTGTTTTCTTTTAGGAGAGAAACCATTTTTTCCTGGGTACTCTTTAATACAGTTGTACTAATACATAAATATATATTACTCAAATAATAGCAGAACCCCATTCACTATGCTTATTTTTGCTCCTCACTATTATTCCTCTCCCTCTACCCCTGCCCCAACCTCCCTGCCCTAAGATGGAAGAGATTCTCCTCAGGCCCTGGCAAGTATCTACCAGTATCTTTGGAGAAATGGACAGGGCCTTGGGATGATACGTTCTCGTTTTGTCAAAGTGAGAATGAAAGGGTTCTATGGAGAGTAAGTGTGAGATCATTCAAGTGGTTGGAAAAATTTACAGAGCAAGACGTAGGTGTTGTGCCCTCCTCTCCAAAGACAGCCTCCTGTTGACTCTTTGTAATCAATCTTGGGGATTCAGGGCAGATGGAGAAAGGAAAACGCAGTTGCAGCCTGTGTGGACTTTAGTCCAGCCTTCCCCTATGAGTACTTTAATACCCGCTGAGCTTGGGCACCTGGAGATTGCCTGGGTCTGGCCGTGAACTTACTCTGTTGGGAAGGGCCCTCACCTCTCAATCGTCCTCCTCTTTGCCCCAACTTGGATTTGCCTCCTAGGCCTCTGCTTGGGTGCTATATCCTCTCATAATTCCTGATCCTTCCATCTGGGTTGGGTCCTTCTTCTTCTCAAAGTTCTGTGCTTCTCTCAAATCAGAAGATGATCTCACTCTATTATAATTACACCTGTGCATCCCTGTTTCCTCAATTAACTGGTCAGCTCCCTGAAGATAAATACCAAACTATGTCTTTCTAGCCTCAGTGCTCTGCATGTACACAGACTTTAATTTGTTACTTGAACAAATTAATATATCTTTACACAGAGCAGGGAACTGATATTACATAGAAATTAATGGTATGGTCTTTTGCCACCTGCTGGCTGTGTGACTTTAGGCAAATCACTTAAACACTGTGAGGCATAATTTTATGTTCTATAAAATGAAAATAATAAAATACCTGCTTTATAAGGAAGTTTTGAGAATTTGGTTGATTTTTCACATTAAAAATATGTAGCCCTAAATTACCACAAGCAATATGAGCTCAAAGACTGTTATCTATGATAATAATAACAACAGTAATTAATAGCTATGAGAGTTATTATTATTATCATCTCCCCCTGAGTTTTTTTTTCCTTGGAGTCAGGATTTCTACCTTGGTCAGGTAAGAACCTGAGGCTAAGAGCCAGCTGCCTTTTTCCTCTACCACAGGCCAAGAGTCTCACCTAAGAGCCTCATGGCCTTGGGCCATCTGATTACTCTTGTATCTTGGATGTCCCTCTCTGGCTTTCCTCCCACTTGCCTCAGGAGGACTGATAGAGTTGGCTAGAAATAGGAGACTTTGCCTTCTGGCTGATTACACAAGGTGTTTCTGCAAAGAGATAGGTCAAGCTCCTCAGTCTCATTATAAGCTTGTGTTGGCTCCCTTTTCTATACATTGTTCTCTGTGGTTTTTATTATAGTTTATATTGCAGGAGAAAAAATTCTATGGTGCCAAGAATAAAGATTCTGAGAGGTAGCTGGAGCATGGGGGCTTTCAAAACTTGTAAAACAATGTGCAAATTCTTCTCTAGGGCCTGTGTGTTACAGTTTAATTCTCCTCCAGAAAACGAGTTCAAGAGGATATCTCCTGGAGGCTCCATGAGGCTTTACCAATCCCCAGGGAAAAGCTGATCCTAAGGCAAAGGTGCAGCTTTCTATAGAGAAGAGCAACGTTTGATCTTGACAATCAATTACCATTTTGACAATGATCAGGCTGGAATGCGATAGAGGCCTTCTCTAATTATAGTGTAGACCAATACTTATTCCCTTGTCCACCGTTCTGCCAAGAACTTGTCACTTCATTTTTTATCTTCAAAGAGATCCAACAATTTGGACACAAGATCACAAATTATTTGGTATGTATATATTTTTTAATATTGACCCACTTTTCTGTGACCCAATATTTATTGAATGAATACTTGTTATATCAGACTCTTTATTAAAAGCTTTGTATCTCTTATTTAATCATAAAATACTATGAGATAGTTATTATTACTCTCATTTTACGTATGAGAAAATAGACTTAGCAAAGGTAAATGATTTGTCAAAGAACAGTCATTAAGATGTGGAGAGGAGAATCATTAATAATACTTTCTAGATATGCAAATGGGCATAAGACATTGAACAAGTAATTTCTTATAAAAAATTACTGTTTTGTATAAATAATCAATGATGGATATCAACTAAATTAGACATATTATATCTAATATATATCTACATCAACATATAAATATATATAGATATAGGGATAGGGACAGAGAGAGGAGAGAGGAGAGATGAGAGACAGTGACAGAGAGACAGAGAGAGAGAGAGAATCTCAAATAGAACACCATTTCAAGTCAGAAGTCCAAGATCCAGTCCTGGTTCTGCCATCAGTGTAGGAAAGTTAGTCAACCTTCCCTGTCCTTGGGTGTCATAAACCCAAAGGTCTGGGAACCACTAGACTAGGTGATCACTAGTTTTCTTTTTAGCTTCGAAATTTTATCTCCTTCTTAAACCATAAATGATATTTAATGGACTCTAAAGTAGAAAGGAAGAAGAAAATGGAAAGGTTTATTTCTTTTTTTTCTTATTTAGTTCAGCACTTCCCCAAATGCTGAAAGACAGTGCCTGGCAAGATATTATAGCTATTCCACCAGAAAAGGCATTCTTAGTCAAATGAGTTTAGGAAACAATAGATTTAAAAAGCTGAACAGTTTTGGGGGGAGGGGGGAGGTAGATGGGGTAAAAAAGGGTCAAATACGTGGTGACAGAAAGAAATGTAACTATGGGCAGTGGACACACAATGCCATATATTTATGCGCCTTACTGTTGAATTGTACACCTGAAACGTACTGGATTTCGTTAACCAATGTCACCATAATAAAATTAAATAAATAAATAAATAAATAAATGATAAAAATAAATAGATAAAAAGTTAGACAGTTTTCTTAACTGAGAAGTTTTCAGAACCTGTAAAATTCTCATGTTTATTGTAACTGCCCCAAAGCAGACAAAGTCTGAGTGCTCCCCAAGTTATTGATGGGGAGCAGATGCACTGAAGATAGTGCACCTATTCCTGGAACACAATCTGAGAAAGTCAACTTTAGCTAACAGAAACTTCTCAGTAGCTTTCATAATAAAGAAAAAATATAGCATTAGAGACAAGGAGACTTGCCATTTATTACATAATATTAACAAAACTAGGGATATTTTCAAAAATTACAAAATAAATCTGAATGAAAATACTTCAGATTAAAGTGCAATGGACTAGACAATTTTTTGTGGCTGTTTTGACAACTTTTTTTTACTGTAACAAATAAAGGAAAATTGTGTGAGGAGATTTGTATCCAGTGAATATAACATGATAATAAAAGCACTTGGAATTTGCAGACGTGCATGGTAACAAAATTGTGGCTATCATTTCTACATAGTAACTACAAAGTAAATTAAAACCACCTGTAGCTATTGAGGCTGAGAAACCCCTCAGACTCTTCTCAAAATGTGAGTCCTTGTTAAATATTTTAGCAGCAGAAACAATTAATTCTGAATATTTGTGGCTCGTAATCAATTTATTGAAAGATTTTTAATATGATCAAGGAATAAAATTATTGATAAAAGAAAAAAATCTATTAGGGTGTACTTGTTTTTATTTGTCTTTGCACAATTATCCAATTGGAGTTGAGAAGGTTTACTTAGCCTTTTTCATTGTTTTTTACATGATCATGTGAAATATCAACTAGCCAAACCCTCAGCCTTCACAAATTCTAGATTCAACTTTCACTTGACACACTGAGGCGAGAACAGTTTTCGCTTGGGACAAGATGAACTTGGGGCAAACTATCAGAGGGAGGACCTAGGAAGGATCTTTGGAATAGTCTGAAACTAACAACCTCTTTTTCTGACTCTACACACACCAAGGTTTTGACAAGCCTGGGGCTCTGCATTACTTCCAATATTTTCCATTATGACTGTATGATAAAGTCCAGCCTGTTTTTCACAATCCTGCTGACTACAGCAGTCTGCAACTATTAAAAGCCTTCACAGACCTGGAGTTGGCTTAGAAAAGTGCCTTTGCAAAAGAACAAAAAGTAACATTTACATTCAAAGACAAGAGAGAGGCAGGCTCTTGTTTTGGTACTGATGGACTGAAAAAGATTGTTTTTGGGGGTCTAAATTTCAAATTTTTTATTTTCTTCTGATGAAATTTGTAAACAAAATACCAACACTAAAATGAGGGCACTTGAGCCAGGAAAGGGGGGAGTGTCTTGTCCAGCAGATCAAACCCTCTTCCAAACTCCACTGAAAAGAAGTATCTGTGAACTAGCACATGACCCTACGTGGTATGCCCGTGTCTAGAATCCCTCAACCTCCAAGTTAACAGGTATGTGTGAGGTTTACACCAAAGATTCAGATTTCAGAATTAGCTTCTTTTAAACCTTACGCTAGTACTGGTTTAGTCTCTGGAGAGGGGAATAAAAACACCAAACAACTCTTTTTAACAGACTACATTACCCATTAATACAAAATGACTCAATATATAAATATTGTGGTTTGAAACTATACCATTCAAGCTGCTTTGAACATCTGCTAAGCCTAATAAGAAGTTGGTTTTAATTTTTGCAATAAAGAGATTCAATTGAAAGGTAAATCACAGAGGGGGAAAAAAGTAAAAGTTTAAGCAACTCCATACATTTGAACTTTGACTCTCTGCAAAACTCTATTCCCCCCATCCAGTAAAGCAAATCACATTAAACATCAACATTTAAAAACTAGTACCTCTTTAAATATATTTTTAAAAAGCAAAACATCAGAGCTACTTGCCTTTTGGCAATTTCTGTGCATTTCCCAGGGCTAGTGCAATACTTCCACAGAGAAGTAGACACCCCAAGCTGGAGAGCATGTTGTATTTGCCACCTCACACGGGGAGTGATGCTGGTGGGGGTCCCGCAACCTTGGAGCTGCATTTAAGTGGACTCTCCCAGTGACAGAGGCGGGCGGCTGCACTTAGCTGTGCTGTGGGCTTACTCATAGGGGGTGGAGACAAAATGACATCACACCCTTTCTCACACACACCAAAAAAAAAAAAAGAAAGAAAGAAAGAAAGAAAGCACAACAGCAATAACATATCATCACATTTCCTCCTAGGTTATAACTGCCTCTAAACTTCCCTCTGTGATATAAAAATTGAAATTATGGTCAATCCATATTATGAAAGAAAAAGTACTTAGGCAATTTTGAAACATTTGATGAACTATTTTGAAAAGTCTAGAAAAGACATACTTAAAACCATTGGAATGTTAAAAATATAAAATGAAACCTTATTAGGAAGGAAGCTATTTTCAATTATCTAGTACACCAATCCACTTATGGAGTAAACTCATAAAAATATATTTTGAACAATTCTGAAGTTTGAATATTATGAGAAACATTTAAGAGTGAGTAGTTGGCTATACAGCTATTCATTATATATAGAGAGATACATACAGATTCTACAGATATAGATGTATAGTGCACAATTCACTACCCCTGATTGATCCACAGTTTTGGGCCATGTTCTGTAACAGTATCTTTACCTACATTATTGTAATTCAATCTTCACAATGGCTGTACAGGAGATATAGTACTATCCTCACTTCATCAGTGAGCAAAACTGAGGCTTAGACACGTTAAGTGTCCTAACCAACCTCTGTATTCTAATAATTAATAAGTTGATGGGCTTTAGAGTAGGGTTTAAATTTGGATGTTATGTGCCTTTGAACAAATGTCTCCATCTATATCTCATCAACATGGCTTACATTTAAGTGCTTGTTCTATGTCAGGAACTGATCTGATCAGTTCACATATATTAAAACATTTATTTCTCAAAGTAACCTAGGAGGCTGTTATTGTCATCACTTTACAGATAAAGATTAAAAAAAACAAAACAAAACTGAGCACAGAGAGGTTAAGTGACAGGCACAATGTCACAGTGCTAGTAAGCAAGAGGGCTGGCATTTTAATGAGGCAATTTAACCCCAGAGCTTCTACTCTTAATTAGTAAACTTTAAATTCTAAAATAGAGATAATAGTACCAATTTCATACATTTGCTAGCAGGATTTCTGGATAGTACTCACTGTAGTGCTTGACCCACAGGAAGCATTTAATAAATAGTTACTTCAAACAACAACTGTAATGACCATAATAAATCCCCCAATTAGGTAGAACTATGATTCTAACCTGGGTGTTTGTACCTCCAAAGCCAATGTGTATCCTCTCTTCCCCACATGACATCACCCTGAACATAGGTGTTGCTGGAATGGCTGAGTTAATAAAGTGCTTTAATTGTTGTCTGTACATTTATATCGACTCTTTGAAACTAGCTTATTTCATGGGGTTGCTGTAGCTGAACCAAAACAGTAAGAGAAAAATGGAATAACACTGGCGAAATTAAATTCTAGTTGGAAAACTTACCAGAGCAAAAAGGAAGAATAGAAAAGACAGCCCCGTACTCCAAATAAAGCGTGAGAAGGCACATTGTTAAAGTCATTTAGAGCTGGCCCAGTCTAAGCTTTCACCATCGGAATGCTCTGGCAATGGCTACGGAGGGGATTGGGTTATTTAACAGGTCTTTTTCATGTCTAATTTTTTACTTGAATAGGCAGCTCTCTCAAACCTGAGTTTGGACATTTATCCAGCTGGCACTGCTGATTCTGCTCCTATATGCCATTGCCATTAAGTTAAGCCAGTGAGGCCACTGGGCTAGCAGAAATGACAGGTTTCTGAAGGGGGAAAAACAGCAGAAATATTGAAAAGAAGGCTGGTTCTTCAAAACAGCATGAGGGGCTGATCCGAGGGTTAGGTCATGGAATTAAGGAATCAGTCTCTCTGCTTGGCCTGCAGGCTAAGTCTAGTCTACATTAGTGGTCATTATTTGTGGTTTGGAATGAACTGGGAGCTAATGAGAGGAGGCATAAAGAAACAGACCACGTCACAGGACACATTTCACCTTCTCAATGAACAAAAAGTTTGCTGTCATGCCAGAATCCCAACCCAAATACTGCAGACAAATACTTCTGAAGAACTATAAGTGCCTTGCTATATGGAATAAAACTTCAGGGCTGTGGTCATGTAATCACTGGAGAATTTAAGGCCATTTTCAAGAAAGAACTGCCTTCTGATCCTGGGTACATTGGAGACAATAGCTGAGGAGTAATTTGTGTAACCCTGTTAGGTCTCGATTGTCACGAGAGAACGCTAAGCCCTGGTTCAAATGCCTCTGCAGGCACTTGTGTCTGTATTTATCTGGAAATAAAGAAATGTAAAGCTTGTGAGATCATAGAATATTGAATTAACTGTCACCAATACCTGTAAAACATTGTTTTATACATTTATGCAAACCCACAGAATGTACAAAATGGAGAGTGAAACAATGTAAAATATGGACTCTGGATGATAGCAATGTGCCAAGGTAGGTTCATCAATTGTCACAAATGTATCACTCTGGTGGGGGATGCTGGTAATGGGGAAATCAGGGGGTATGAGGTATATCTCCATGTGTGGGGATAGAAAGTAGGTATATGGAAAATCTCTGTACCTTCAGTTCATTTTGCTGCGAACCTAAAACTACTCTAAAAAAAATTCTATTACAATTCTTGTTGAGAGAACACTTAGAAAGAACTGCTGGAAAAAACACATAAAATGTATGTATATTTTCTCTCTATTCTGTGAAGGCAGGAACAATGCCTTTTGTTTATTACTGTGCACAGTACATATGATAAGAATGCAGTAAGGATGATGAGTAAGTATCAAATGAAGCACAGTTCACAAATTCCTTCAGAGAGTCTAAAGGTTAGTTCTAAATCAACCAGAGAAAGCTAGACTATGATTGGATCATATAGTTTCTCAGAGACAGTTCTCCAAGGGTCCCTCATGTTTCTATACATATTATGAGAAAGAGGCACTGATTCCCTGTGCTCCAGATTATCTTTTGAAGAGTATTGGTACAGTAAACAGCTTAGGAAGATAAAAGTTTGTTCATTGTCCCATATAATAAAGGTAATATCTCCCTCTGGGGTGAAGGGAACACATACTCACTGCCTATAATCAAAGATGAAGTTCCCTAAGCTCAGGGCTCCTTTCCTGTATTGTAACTAGAGGCATGTGCAGGTAACACCTGTACCTCCTATGGGAATTGGGGCTCCTAGAATGGCACAAATACAGATATTCAGGCTACTGCTATTACTATGAGTAAATAAACAGTCCTTTGTCTTTGACCCAGGAGTCTTGTGTCTCCTGCCAACATCCATGAACTGTGCATGTTAGCTTGCACGTATAGTAAAATATCAACCCTTCATAGTTCTTGGCAATAGGATTGACCCACACCAAAATATTTTATTAGATAATCTTTGGTATAATGCCATCATCTACATTCATATCCATTATAAGAATCAGCCATGAAACTATTGTGCATAGAAGACTGTTGCTATACATTGCTTATTAAATCATGTAGTATCTTCATTATAAAAACTCTGGAGAAAAAAACTGACTGTTTCTTATGGGAAAAAAGGTTGTAATTTTTCCTGAGCAACTGTACTTACTTTGTGACACAGTAACTAGGTTTCTTGTTCTGTGTTGACTGCTAGAAAACCAGAGCCAAATGTGTCCCCCACCCATACTAAGTGTATAATTCTTTGTGATATGCATGTTTTGGCATCATTCCTGATTTTATTTTTCATCCCCACCCTTATTTGTTTCTTATTTTACTTGGAGTCTTAATTTATGTAGTTTTTTAAGTTGCTTTCATTTGTTTTTTCTGGAGTAAGGTGAAGGATAAACAAACTCCAAATGCAGGAGTTGCATCAAAAACGTGTCAAATTTGGTAAATGGGAACCTGGGAACTGATTCCCAATGCTTTCTTTCCTATGCAACAGTAGACTCTCATGGAATTTTGGTATAATGATTATATAGCATCATTTCTTTATATATATATATACAAAAGTAAAGATGCAGTCAATGGATCTAAAGTGAGAATAATAAATTATTCTTAGAAAATGACAGCTTACATAGCATCATTTCTTATATATATATATATATATATTTCTTTTTGAGAAAGTAGGTAAAGGCAGGAGGACATTCAGAACTCTACTCTAAATGAGTATTGTATTTTTCAGTCATCCATTTGACTTTTTAAGTGTTCAACGTTAACTCCATTATTTCAAACAAGACTTCCACTAAAACTTATAAATTTTTCAAAGCTTAGAGGTAAACTCTGCAGTCATTTTACCTATCAGTTATCATTCTTTAGTCTCTCATACATAAGGTTCTACTGTGAGATTTTTTAAAGGCTTGTATATCTACAGTTAACAGTATGCAAAGATATGCTGTGGTTTTCCAGAAGATGCTACTAAAAATTTTTATTATGACTCATATTTGAAAAAGGAAACCCAGTGTTCCATGTTTTCAGCCCAAATGTTGTTCCTATAACTACTGAACTGAACAAGATCTGTGATCCAATTGAACGCATATCCTGCTCCAATGGGGGTACATCTGGCCAGAGCATGAAGTTTTTTTCCCCAATGCTTTTTATATATCGCAGTGAAGTACTGCCCCTTACATGCCTAAGTGATGCTTGTAGATCATTCTTTAGCTTCTCTAAAGGCATCTTGGCCTCTAGATTTTTGGCTTCATAACTTGAAGTAATTAGTAAGTTATGCTTATAAAAGAGTATAAAGAATTCTTTCCTCCTACTACATTGGAAACTTCTTTAAGACCTAAATTATACATCTCTGAGCTATGAGGCTTGCCTTTCTTGTTTCTCTAAATTCTCCTTTCTTTGCAGAGTTGCCACGTACTGAGCTGGGCTTACATAAGTAGAGGGAATATCTCTTACCTGAGCTTCAAATAGTGAAAAAATTGAAGGCATCAGTGCTGAGTGG